AAAAAAAAAATGCCATAGTTATTTTTAAACTATTAAAGTAGCAGTGATAAAGTGTGAGAATTAGGTTTTTCAAAAACACTGTATCGTTGCCAATTGTTGAAGTTTAACCTACAAAGCTCAAACCATTTCTTCTAAAGTATTGCGTATAGCCAAAATTATGATGACAAATAATGCAAAATAAAAATTTTAGTTTATTTGACAAGCGTAAAAAGATTGTTATATGAAAACCGCAACAGCAGCTTATAGTATGATATCTGTCTTCTGAATTTGTCTACAAGACTAATTCAACAACTGTCACCCTGTTTAAGTTAGTTAAATTAATCCATGTTGATGAACAGCAATGCTAATTGTACACCGATTACTATTTTCAAAAATTTCATTTAGCTTATAATATAATTTTACTGTGCTACTACTAAAACAGATTAATATTTAAGTGTCAAGATAAGAGGGAACAAGAAGCACAGTAATATCTTCAACTCTTTTTGTACTGACAGAACACTGGTAAAAAAAGTGATGATAAAGATAATGATAATGATAATTAAGAAGAAAAAAATTTATAAAAGTTCTCAAGTTTCTTTTTTTGAAAAATTAAAAAAAAAGAAGAGAGAGAGATCAAAAAATTGTATTTTGTTTTTAATGCAGTTTTCTTTAGCATTAAATATTTAAAAGCAATTCTTAGAAAAAATTTTAGTTGCAAGGTTTTCGATTAACTGTTTCAGACAAGAAAAGTTTTGCTTTGGTTTAAAGGATAGATGAACTGTGTCTTTTCCAGTTTTGACGATTGAAAAACTGTTACTGCCTTCATCAAACAGTTAAGAAGTCTCTAAATGACATGTTAGGAAAAAGGTTTTACTTGATTTTTAATTTTTGATTTTTGTTGACAACTTGGAATTGAACAGTATTATAGGAATCTAAAGTAACACTATTGGCATAAAAAAAAGTTCTGAAATCAACGATACATCAAAAATCACTAAAAAACCAACATAAATTTGTATTTAGTACTCTTCTGTTACTGGTCAGAATACAGTTTTAAAAATTTATTCTGTAGTTTCACATCAGAAAGACAAAGCAATTTGCAGTTCAGTTTTCTATTAGCTACATTTTCGTTGTTCTAAACAACCACCCAAAAACCATCTTTTTGCTACTTTTTACGTAAATCTTATCATTTAGTTATTATCGTATTAGCTTTTTAAAAAAAGAAATAAGCCTTCCGATGCTGATGCCGTCTTTATGTAGTGTCCGACAACCTTCAGATTCAACTGGTTATCTTCGGCAAAATTTGTTCAAACAGAAGCAGCAGCCTTAAAATAAAAGAGTTGTAAATGAAGTTGATCAACGAAAGAGACTTTTTTGTAGAATTAATTTATGGAAAAAAAAAAGTTTCCAGACAGAGAACTGATAATGGAAAGTAGTTTGACGTTCCAAATTCTGTTCAATACAAAAATAAAAAATAAAAAATCAAGAAAAGTTTTACGTAAAACGAAAAACAAAAAAAGAAAAAGTGATTTGTGTGCATTCGCGGTGGAATGGTATCATTCATTTAAAGTGAACAGTCTATCAAAATTGACTTGAAAAAACTGAAACAAAAGACAAAACAAAAAAAAAAAAATTAATAAATAATAAAAGAAGGAAACAAAAAAGAAAGCTACAAATATTTTCTTTTTTGTGTTATCAATCTTTTTCATTTTTCACTTTCTCGATTTTGCTTTTACTAAATTTTGATTCTAAAACAGAACTATGAGTTACTGCTGCTGCCATTGATTACAGAAAACTTTAGCAGCTGAGTACCGTACTGTACTGTACAGAACACTGTGAAAAATCAGATGTTAAGATTAAAATTTCATCCTTTCTTTTTTTTTGCTTTTTTTCAACCCTATTGTTCAAAAACTTCATTTTCTATTTCTTTTTTCTCGTTTCTTTTTTTTTTCAACAAAAGATAAAAACATATGAAGGCAGTTTGTTGTTTATTTAATTAAAGAAATTTTTATTTCCCCATCTTCTTTTATCCACCTCCTATTTGACCAACGTTTGATTTGGTTATACTTCACCGTTTCACTGCCAGCCGAGTATAAACTGCATAACAGTAGGTGATGATGACACATTTTTGGTGATGTCAGTTAAAATGTATAAATCTTGCTGTCACCAAATAAACATTCAATGAAGCTAAATTTTTGGTTCAAACCTGACTAAGTGCCAATTTTTGTTTACCCTCTAAAAACCAGCCAAAAAACTTTTACCGATATTTCGATGCTGCAGTCAGAACCAATATCTATAGCATACATCTACAAATTAAACGGTAAATTCTTCAAAAGAAAAAAACTTCTAAGCTTCAGACCTTAAGGAAGACTAATTTATGAATAAAATACAACTTTAGACTGTTGTATTAAAATTTCAAAAGCGAAATTCACTAATTTTTCAAAGATGACCTAACAATATTCCACTTTCAATTTTGTCACAAAAATGAAAAAAAAAATAACAGATTTTTTTTTTTTTTGATTTTATTTATTTTTACAACAGAAAAAGGAAGGCGTTACGAAAAATTAATTCTTTTTACAGAATTATTTGATATTGAGGTCACAAAACGATGACACCAAAATTGTACCATCAGCGATATCCTGAATTGGGCACCAATTTGCTTCGATACACTTATGCAAAGTGCTCGCTTATAGCATCATCAGCAGTCCTGTCCACCTATTTCACCTGTACTAAACAGTTATTTTTTTCTCGGTTATCTTGTTTAAAAGTTATCTTTATTTGAGAGCTATTTTAACAGCATTTTTTGTAAATTCTTCAGTGGATTTTTTGCAGTTTACCGCAAATAAGACAGCGTAAACACCAAAAAAGCGCCAGATTTACGTAGATTTTTTCAGTTTTTAGTTCTCCTTATTCAATGATAAAGCTTGATCGTTTTGCTCAAAACAGCAGTAGACATTTTAGACAGTAAACAGAATGATAAAATTAGAGGTCTTAAAAATTTTCTAACATTTTACTTTTCAGAGGGAGAACTACAGCAGGCAAAAACTGTAGAAGGGTCAACAACTATTGCTTTTTTTGTGTTGTCGATCAAAGAGTTTTTGAAAACTCTCAGATATTTGCTGCTAATTCTGATTTTAAATTAGGCCCGGATTCTAATTCAACATTTTTTCAGACTTCAAAATGTTACACCACAGTATTATTGCTCTGTTTATTATTTTCACGGTAGCATTTGCACGGCAAGCATCTCATACCCGTAGGTTTTAAAGTATTTTTGTTGTTCCAAAATAGTCATTGCTCGGAAAATATTTCTCAGCAAACTATAAATTAAAATCACATTTGCAGTGAAGAAATTTTTTCAGCGAAAAAAAAGAATGTTTGATTCAACTGCCATGAAACATTTTAGAATTTGTCATATTTGCATCATGAGTTTTGAGCAAAACACCAGCTACAAACTGTTGATCTTCTTGTTTAAGAGGCACACTACAGTTTAAATTTTGCAGAATTTCGACGAATGACCTGCCTTAGCGATAACGACAAAGACATTGCATCTTGTTCACTGCTATTGAAGCAGGACATTAAAGACGAAGAAGAAGAAACGCTGACCTCGTCTGAAGTTTGTGTTGGACAAGATTCTAAAGTAATAATTTTTTTGTTCAACATTTCCAAGTTCAAACTGCTTCGAAAGTTTTATAGAGAGTTTAAATATAGCTCATTTAACACAGAGACTCTGAATTAGACGTCAGCTTCATAGAGATTTGATATTTCCTGTTATAGTAATTTCTATAGCTTTTCATACTCAGACGTTCAGTATATATAACTTTCAAAGAAGAAGAAAAAAGGCTTATTTAATTGGTTTCCTTTTTTAGAACCACAATGTATCCTACATCGACGAACAGTACTGTCATCTGTATTGTACAGGTGCATCAAACGCATATCTGATTGCTAAACGACCAACCAACAATAATAAATGCACCAAATTTTTCAGCTATAAGGTATTACAAATATACAATAGATATGACACCTAATTTGTATAACTGTCAAATAAAAAAATCAGTTTATTATTGCCATAAATGACTTCAAACAAAATGATAATGCTTTTTCTTCGACTACAGATTGTTCAACGAAATACCGAGTGGTATTTGTGGAGATCGTCAAAATGTTTACGTACAGAGCTGCAGTTTGATATTGCATGTCAGTTCAATTATCCACAAAACTCTGGAAAAAGTATTAAAGATCTTATTTCGAAAAAGTATACTAAAGATCAGATATGAAGAAAAAAATTCTTTTATTGTCTGTGCTTTAAAATTGTTGTTGTTACGTCATACATTTTTTCTATATTTGACTGCAGAATAATTTGTGTAAATTGAACTTTTACAAATTCCTTCCAAAATACAATCTGAGGCAAAAAGTTGCTGTTGGTGCTGCAGTTGAAATCATTTGTCAAA